AATCYTTTTCTTTCTCCCTCCAAGGGAAGCATGGCCGAGCCCTCCTTACGTTATTACAAAGTTCCTGCACTAGTTTATTTGGGTAGAATCTGTGCTACGTGGCGGTGGGCAGCAGTTTAACTAAGAGAACTGCACATGTTGATGAACTACTACTTAGCACAGATTTTTTCTTATAGATAACTTCTTGCTACTTTTATCTAATTCATACTGTTAGCATTTTTGTTTGATGCTTGAAAATGAAAAGAACACTGTTTAATTGCATGACTATTCAGCTTGTTAAAGAGGTCTGGATGTTATTAAGGAAGACTGGGTAAATCATAGCTTATACAAAATAATTCAGTGGGGTCATGTGACAGGTAAGAGATTTTATATATCTTGTCCTTTTGTTTCTTACTGTTTGAATTATCTTTAAGGATAGGACAGAAAAGACTAGATTTGAAGCTTTCAGAAATCATACTGTGATTAACAGAACTGAATTTTGAGACTTATTAAAAAAATTGTCAACAATGGCTCCTAAGGATCCTACAGGAAGTTTCACCAAGCAGAGACATTTAAAAACAAACAAACAAAAAAGCCACCAGGAATTATCAGACCCACTAAGTCCAGATACTTGTACTGAAATTTTCCAAATGAGAGATTTGTTTACATCTTAAAATACTCAGAACCAGGAAGGGATGTAAATATCTTTAAATATGGGTGTACTGCACACCCAGTACAAGCAACTCGTAGAACAATTGCTGTCATACTAACAGGGACGGGTGAGAGGAACAGTGTTTTGCTGCATACTATTGTACTGGCTGCTTGATATAGAAGAGAAGAAATGATGCCAGACTTGAGCAAGATGCAAAGGAAAAAGAATGAGGAAAAAATATGAGTATAACGCAATCTTGATCCACTTACAGTTATCAATAAAATAATGCAGAGTGACAAAGCACAGAGTGAGGATGCTGTGCCTGGAGATTTAGTTTAGGGTGTAATGGTGAACGGACAGACTGTTCTAGAGAAACTTCTTTCTGGTGCCTATTAGTCATCATTACTCTTTTGCACTTAGTGTGGGATTTTTCGCTCCTCAGTCACTGGAAGATCTTGTAGAACATCTGTTTCTTATAGAGAACTTTTCCAGTCAGCATGATCTGTAACATGTTGTATCCAGTCACCGCAGGGGGTAGACTGAATGTATTGACAGAGAAAAGAGTTTTAAGCCAATTTTCTTCTCTGGCCCTCCYGGTGCATCTTGGTCTCCCAGGGATGCTGTGAGCAGAGATGTCGGGAGTTCTTCCYTGCAGCTGTGCTGGGCTGCAGAGCATTTCTAGGGACTTCTGAAGCACACGTGTCCAGCACTGGTTTTGGTCTACGGGCTTGCTGTTCTTCGCTGCAATGCTGTCCTGTCCCCATCCTTCCCAAACAGGGTTCTGATCCTTGAGGGTATCTGTCATCTGTRCTCAATACAGATTAGACACCATTCTTTCTTGTGGTTTCACAGTATTCAAAATAAACCTTTGTTGGCTCTGAATTAATACAACTACTTTTGGTGTCCCATCAGCGCTTGATTTAGTTAACCATCAATCAAAAGCATATCTTCAAGTTAAAGTAATYACCTGAGGATGTATATGCAAGTTAGAATAGATGGGGGAACAAATGTAATTTAGCAACATCAGCATGTTTTAAGTAACTTGGCTGATCCTTTCATAGGTGCACTTATGTCAAGTAGGTTTCTGTTTCACATCACTGAAGATGCAATTGATTATTAAACCAGTGAAGGAACTGAGCTGAAGTACAGCATAATTGCGGTGACTGGGGGCTTGAAGACTTTATTTTATATTAATTGGAAAAGACTGTTGGAGAAGTGGGTCAAGCTACCAAGAAAATGAGAATATGGCTGAAAAGTGGCATTTGCTTATTCCGGGTAATATTCAGAGCTGGCATGAGAAAATCCCTAATTCARTGGGGCATTTTTCTAATGCCTGTGACCTCTCCTTGCCACACAAGAATGTTATTTCCTTTTGTGTAAATTGTCGTAATTATTGAGTGCCCCAGGAACAGAAAAATGTTCCTTTCATACCACGAAATGAATGTGCAGTAGGGACAGGGTATTGTCAGAATCCTCCTACAACCAAAAGTAGGTTCAACAGATAAGCCTGAAGTCACCTTTCTTACCTTGGGTAATTTAAAGCATCCTGTGGTTCCCAGTTCGAGGAGAAATGGGGTTGCCCATAGAACAAAAAACTTTTGTTGTAGTATTTTGTTTTGTCTTTGTTTGTTTTCCTTAAGAGCATTCACCTGCTTATTTTATGCTCATCATTTCTGTGTCCAAACAACTGCACTTCTCTTGTTCAAATTGTCACGTGGAATCTTGTTTATAAAGGTCCCTATTTCCTACACAATAGGGATGTTTATTTAAATTTAATTTTTGCTGATTTTGTTGTTCACCAGAAGTTATTTATCATTCTATTTATCATAAATGATTTACCATAGATTGATCTTGGATATTCTTTTAGAGGTGATAATATACAAAACTATTTTTAATCATCAAAAAAGTGCCATAGTAATAAGTATACTCAGGTAATATGATAATTCAGCTGAGTTATGTTTTCCCACCTATATAGAGTTAGATGGAAATCTTTTTTGTTTTTAATTTTCACTGGCTAAAGCAGCTATTTAGCATGAAAACAACTTAAACYGAAAAACTGTTCCACATTAGCAATCCTCTGAGACATGATTTATCTTAGAAGAATGCAAACAAGTGGGATGAAAATGTTCTTTCCTGCCTTTTAGGGTTTTGTTTCCATGATTTTTCAACTTTCTGGTTTGTGAAATGAAAGCAAATTAAAAGTACATTTTTGTTAGTACAAACTGTGGAACTTTATAAACAAAGAGAAATCAGCCTAGTTTCTTGTTAAATGTTTTGTGTGGATGTGATAAGCTTTCATGGTTGTTATCCTTGTCTGTGAACAGTTTACACATCTACAGAAAAAAAATGGGCACTAGATCCATTTTCAAGGACACTTTTCAGGTTATAGACCTCACATTTTCACTTATCACTATAAAAAATAGTTTTTTAGCATAGAATCATCCTGCTTAACATCCTTGGTGTACTCTCACAAATTCCATGAAATTCATCACTCGCCAGACTTTCTACAGAAGAATAGTTGACCGTGAAGCAGCACCGAATATCCCTTGTGATCTCTGTAAAAGTAGCTCTAGACTGATCTGAGGGATGCTGGGATTTTCATATTCAGATCATCTGTCAAAGCAGGAAAAATGACGAGTCTTATTGCCTCGCAGGGCTAGTCCTGACATAGTGCAATTTACTGGCCAGCCCTTATGTTAAATTTTGTTTAGAGCTGGGAAGGAGGTCAGGCCTTTTTCAAAGATCTCTTTAGCCTTCTTCTTGCCTTATTTCCCCATCACCTCAATTAAAGGGTTSCTTTTCTATCATAACTAGCAACAGTTACTGCCAGGGCTCTTCCTTTGTTAAAAGAGTCTTCTCTCTGAGCACTTTCAAGTCTGATATTACTCTGCCACGGCATACTTGAGAATCTTCTATTTTCTGCTGGGTGAAAAAATCAAATTCCCCAAGTTCCATCAGAACGTGTGCATGAATTTTGGCATATCTAATGTTTGACACATTTGTTATAAACAAAGTAGCAGATGTTATCTTACCCACATATATTAGTTCATTAGAGAGCATATTTATTTCATTTTAATTTTTAATGTTAACTCTTTCTTATGTTCTTTTACACTACTAASAGAAAAGTCAATATGGCCTTAAAACTGGGGCTTTATATTCCATGCTGTTTGGCCTTAGTTGTTCTTAGTTGTTTTTTTATAAGACAGTGGGGCTGCTGTTAATTCAGATCAATGTCCTTAAACATAATCTCCTTCCAGAATTGATTTTATTTAAGACATACAGCTGCGAAACATGGTTGTCTAAGATCCATCTGAGCAGGAGGAAGCCTTGAGCAGGCAGGTGGGCTCRATAACCTCCCGAGGCCCCTTCCGACTTGAAATATCCTGTGATCCACATGAGGCAGCTTACAGATACTAGTGCTGGGTGGAGATAATGAGTTGATAATTAATTGCTTAATCAAAGTTTAAGTCATCAGTGAAATGAGTCCTGTGGCCTTGGCCTCCAGGCACCCTTTTGATGCTGTAAGCCTTTCTACTGGCACCTGTAGAGCGGGTGACCAATGCAGCTCAGGAGCCACCCTCCCGCCCCAGGGCACTGGGCTCTGAGTTCTGTTTCATGGTGGGCTTTAGCTGGGGGTGKGTTTGTCTTGTTGTCTGTTTTCCTCCTCCCCTCCCTTCACAAGTTAATGTATTTTGCTGAAACGCATCCAAACCCATCACATGGGTGAGATGACTCTCTGGCCATGGGTAGGAACAACTGTCTGTCTTCAGGTCCTTGAAATTCTGCAACTTCTGCACTTGAATAAGTTCTGTTTATGTGGAATGAAATCATAATTTAAGCCTACTCCCTTGGAGAGCAGTGCACATACTGTAAAAAGGCAGGGTTAACTGCATTTAATCTTTAAAATGTTTTTGCTGGTTGTGCATGTACAACCTTATTTGCTAAAAAAATCTTTTGGGAACAAATTAGTAAATAATAAAAATCTGCTTCACAGATTAAATTGAGAATAATAAAAGTCAGCTTCATTGGTGGAATTATTCCTGTGGCAGATTAAAAAAGAAGCCAAAAACTGTATTTTTACTTTGTAAAGTAAATTAGGATTTTTCTCTGTGAAATAAATAGTCTTCTAAATATAAAGTTGATGAAGTTGATGATCCTTTCTGACCATGGCAAATGAATAACATTTTGGCTGCAGCGATAGAAATCGTAGCCAGTTTCATTCCCTCCCTCCCTCCTGTCTGTGGGTTGTGCAGGGTGCTTTTTTGATGGTTTTATATTTCCTAATGCTTCCAAAATAGATCCTGAAACTGAGATGCTGGTCACAGTTATGACTATGCCCTCTTATATACAGGGAGTGTGCTCCTGTAGCTGGAGTTAATGGAGTTAACTAGAGCTAACGAGGTGATGAACAGGCTCTTCTCTGCTCAACAGCAACGAGACCAACATGGTATGAAGAAGAAATTCTTTTGCACCACAGAGGGGTCAGTTACTATAGGAATCACTGCACATTTATGTTTTAATTAGAATGAAACCTTGATTAACATCCGTCAGAGGAATAAAACTGAAATAAACAGAGGATTACAAAGAGGGAGAGGGGGGAGGGAAAAGGTGAAATTCCTGTTGTCTCCTACAGCTGTGTGCGTGCACGAGAGACAAGTGATCCTCTTGCACTTGCACAGTGATAGAGAGGCAGGGGAGCACTGAGTGTTTGGTGTAAGGGGCCGTTTCAGACATCAGCCCTCTCTGCAATTAAAGTGACTGTCAGAGTAAGTGAATAGATCACTTCTCAGACCAAAAATACTGCACAGGACAATAGCTGACAATTCTTCCTCAACAGGTACCTCTTCTATACCAGCGTCAGGGACAAAAAGTCTTATTGTTGGTATTTTTTATTTCACTTTTGATTGGTTAGGCAACTCATAACCATTCTATTCTATAACATCTGCTATCTTTTATCTATAACATCTGCTATCTTTTTAAAGGACTGTAGAAGGAGCCTCGCAATGCGGTGAGGATCCCCAAGACATCTGATGAATGAGTGAATGCTGCTGCAGCCGTTCCTGCTGCTGACTTTGTGGCGTATTTGTGACCTGTTCCCTTCAGCCACTGTGTGGGTGACCTGTGCGAAMGGCGTGAGGGTGACACATTGCAGCAACAGCCTCTTAAACTGCCACCACGAGGCTTCCCTGAGGGCCCATCAGCTCTTAGAGAACTACCAAGGAAAGGAATAATGAGAGGGCAAAGAGCTGCACATTAGAGGGTTGCACAAGACTCACTTTTAAGTTGCAGGTCTTGCTTTTAGGCTCCCAGCACAACCTCGGTTATTTGTGATTGGAATGTGCTTTATGTCCATTACTTAGGCTTGCAGAAGAGTGTGGCACTCTACATCTGCCTCCAGGATTTAGCCCAAGAAAGTGTGCCAGGGCATTAGGTTGCTTGTTAATGTAATTAACATGTGGAATTCACACAATTCCTAAGTTCCAGATGTTTTATTTACTTTGTTTTTTAAGTTACAGAAGTGAAATTTAATCCTCTTTCTTCTCCACTTTGCTTTTCTCACATTTGGTTTTTGCATTTTGCATGTTTGTGTGGTGAGGGTTACATTTTGTAGAGAAAAAAACTTCATATGAATGGATGGATGCCACCATTTTCTTCCCCAAGGCACTTCTATGGAAGGATCAGACAGGAAGATTGCYCTTGGCACTTGAATTTTAAACTACGGACTATAAAAGATAATGACCCATAAAAATGCTCAAGATTCGCAGAGGCCACTTTTAAAGGCTCCCTGAYTGTGCTGCTCCACACCAGACCAGGGGGCTGAAGCAGGCACATGGCCTTCAAGATGAGCAGACTCCCACTGGGCGCAGATGGGGAGATCTGCTGAGCAGTCAGCCCAGCAGGTTGGCTAATGAGAAGAAACCTTAAGTGCCTGTTGTTAAAAATGAAAGGAAAATTAAATGGAAACTAACCTTTTAGGATGGCTGCGCTGGCTTTGCTCGTTTGTGTGAAGTTCAGCTCCCTTTGGAGTGGGCTTGGGCAAAGGCACGTCCTGGCGGCCTGCTGGGTTTGGCCACACTTGAGAATCGCTAGCAAAGTATGGCCTGTTGTGTGGGGGAGGCTTCGTGCCCACGAGAGGAGGTGGCTGGGGGGAAATGGGGCTTCCAGCCACCCCAAAGCTGGCCCTGCTGCCAGGAGGACAACGTGCAGAGCCACTTTGCAGGGTGGTGGCTTCTAGCTGCACTACGTTTTGGAAGCTAGCACTGTGTTTGGCATTGCTGCTTGTTAAAGACAAAACATCAGACTCTCTGAGCACCAGTCACTATTGAAGTTGATAGTTTGGGGGGTCTTGTTTGTTTGTTTTTTGTTGTTTTCGGTTGAGACCTTTAATTTGAAATCTGTTCTGTTGTTACATGTGTGTGTGTCTGTAGTTCTGCGTTCCTCATAATGTGCACAGAAGTCCAAGTCCAGTGAGCCCTACATTGTGGCAAGGCCTCCCCTGGCCCGCGAGGAATAAAGCGCTGTGGATCCTCGTCCTGTAGTGACCTGCAGGAAGGGGCAGCAGAGGCCGGGGTGTCCACCAACCGCTTCAGGAAAGCGAAAGGAGCTGAGCTTAGTTAGTCAGGCCCTTCAGAAGCTTCCTGCCCTCTGTCTCATTATGCAGCCTGTAGTTTTAGTGCCATAAAGTTATCCTAAGCTGAGTTTCCGTAGCTTACATTTCACGTTGGCTTTTCCTTTACCTTTTGTATTTCTCACTGGAAATCCCATGTCTTTTGAGGGAATCGCACACTGTATATCCATGCAACTTCTTCTAGGACTTCGGTTTTGGATAAGTAACATAGCAGATGTGATTTGCTTTTCAAATAAAAGCTTTGCCTTTACTGAAAAAAAAAAAAACTAAGAAAACTACTCTGAGTATTTGAAATGAACCTGACTAATTCCAAATCTAAGTAGGCCATGCCTCTAATCATGTGCAGATGTGTGTGGAGCATTCCCATTCGCATCTGTATTCTGCAGTATCCTGGCAATTTCGGGAATCATGAAGGGCCTGTATTCCAGCACCACGGCCATGTGCCTCGTGCACCGTCACGGCTCTCCTGCAGCAGAAGCACGCTCATTTTGTCCAGTGATAACATCAATATCTCAGCCTACCTTACTTTACTTTTAAAACTATTATCTGAATCTAGTTTCCTCTCCTTATACATTTCTGTCTTGCATCTAATTCTGGAGGRAAAAATGGAAAAGGAGAGATAATGGTTTACTTGGTGGTAACTTCCAGGGAGCATAATTGTCAACAGCAGAATGACTGTCTGCTTTCCAGTTGTAGCTGGCAAAATTGTATCACCTCTTTATCTGCCCAGTATTATGCTCTAGGAATTACTGTGTATGTTCATCATATTTTTGCCAGGCAATTGRTTAGTCGGCAGCAGGACTGCCTAACCTTTTCACAAATAGAGAAGCTTTCTGCTTCTCTGTTTGTGGCTCTTCCATTTCTGTCACTCTCTTTTCCCTGAGATGGACTTGAGAGATCGGAGCAACACACACGTGCAGGTTAGCTTTGCTGCCGATGCACAAGTCACCCATCATCGATGTGTCCTTCCATTTCAACGAAACTACCAGACTGTTTTCAGCGATTCAAGAGCTCTGCTGGTGTTCAACAGAGATGTGTATTTCATGTTTCACATTTGATAAGTTATTTAGTGAGAAACTTGCCTATTCTTTATTTGTGCTTGTGAAGGGGGAGCAATTTCACATGCAAAACATAATTAGCACCTGAAATTGTTTTGATCTGTTGTCTTTTGGGTAGACTCTCTGCTAACAACAGATTTCTGCTGGTGTGAAAACTTCTCTTTCAGTTTTTGACCTGCTGCATCAAAGCTAAACTACATAAATTTCATCCTTTGGCCAGGCTTTCATGTAGTGCAAATATTTTGAAATATCTTTTCCCAAACATCTCGTTTTATGTTCATTTAGCTTGGGGTTATCTGGGGGAGAGGGTAGCAAGAAAGGCAAAATAATATTTAATGGATGAGTTTCAGGACTTTTTCTTCAGGAGAACAGCTGAGATTGAGATTTTATTTTTCTGTTCAGGAAGGTGATTTGTAAATTAAAGCAGTTGGTTGATCCTAGCGAATATCAGAAAGACCACTCAGTAAGCAAACAGTGTCGCGGGCATAAATTCTGTTTGCTTTCTGCTTATGTTAATGCTGTGATCTTAACTAGTTCCTTTAGCTTTTGACATCCAGAGGTGATGCTCAGGATCAACCTGAAGCATGTTTGGCTTTGGACCTGTAAGTTGTTGGGGAGGATTGCCTTCCAAATGCAGAGCACCACCTGGGAAACACCAGGGGGATGTGTGCACATATCGATATGTATAGTGCATTGAGCGAAGGAATACACACACAACAGTATGATTTATCATATGCATAATATGAAAGGAGTTAAGAGAGTCAAGCATTTGATGCAGAGTGATGCAGAGTTTTTGTTTTTATTTTGTTTGAATAGTTTTTCATGCAGATATATGTTGAGAATATGTGAAGAGATGTGACAGTTTAAGAACTTTTAATAAAAAAGTTCACACTAGACTTTGAGTTTTCTATAGTGAGCATAATTTTACTTCAGCCATGTTCTTACTCTAACTCAAATCCATTGGAGCTTCTGTGGAATCTATAGTGATTCTCACGTTACCAAGATATTTATATTTCATTTTTTTAAACATATTTATATATGTATTCTTCAGTGCTTTTAACACTCAAGTTATAAGAAAATGAATGACTCACAAATACGCCTTACATGAGTTTTATTTCTTTTAATTTAAGGCCATAAAGGAAGCAATTTTTTTATTCATAATAGTGTTAAACAATAATGCAAGGTGTCTGTCATTTGAATTACTAAAATTGCAAGCTAATAAATGAGAATTTTCTTACAGAAGGAGCAGACAAAGTATTTCTCAAATGTTTTTCCCATGGTGTTTAAGGATTTGAACTCACAAACACATGTAGGCAGACACTCTCTCTAGTGTCTAGCTCTGGACGTGGAGAATCTCAAGGCTTTTCTAGCTTAGACAAATATTTCTTTCTCCTAGAGAGCTCCATCCCCTGCCTTCTCTGCCCAACRCTTTGCTAGCAGGTAGTACAGTCTGCTTTGTGCTGCATTTGCTCTCCTGCGAGTTAACATAAAGCAAGATCCTCTCAAAAATGTTATAAACGTGTGATGAAAATGTGTGTAAATACAAGTAAAAACTGTTGCAGGCTGCTAGTTTTGATTCTGTGGAACACACTGCTGCCTGGAGGGCCATGCGTCTTCCACTTAGCCATCATCTTAATTAAATTTCACCTGACCTAAGGCACTGACAACACTAATCTTCATATAGATTAACCATCTGGAAAACACTTCCTCAACATGATAGTGAGGTGATAGATCTGTGTCCAGAGAACAAGTGTTTAATTTGCTTGGAAACTGAAAAATGTGTCTAATGCTCTTAGGAACTGAACAGGTACGGTATAGATTAGAACAAGGGAGAAGTTAATTCTTGTTTACAAGCYATGCTCACTCCATCTGTTAATAAAGATGCTAGATTATCAATAGTTGGGTAGATTATTTTTTAAATAAGTAGGCAAAATAAGTAGTTTCTACACAAAGTGTATGCATATATCTTGTGTGTATATGCATACTTTTTGTACTTTCCAACCTTGAGACTTTCCTTGGATTTATCTTCAATGGTAACTTAATAAATAAATCAGACCTGACAAATTTATTCCACATCTCCCATATTCCTTATTTTGCTTCCAAGAACAGGCACTTCCTCTGCACTGGTATATGCAGATCCCATCTACGTGCGTGACTTTTAGAGCCCCAGATAGGGAATGAAAAAGAGCACCACCTGATCTAGCTTCAGCTGCTGATTTGCGGATAGGTCTTCCCTCTCTTTGTAATGCAGCAAGCCTCCTGTAACGTGGAAATTGGTGAATGCAACTGAAACAAAAGAAGCCTTTGAAAGGAGAGCGGGAATTATAATCTTTAACTTCACCGTTATCGCATTTCCCCTTCTGTTTAAGCCTCTTTGCTGCAATAATCAAAACTGCAGTTGCTTAGACAC